ATGCATTTTAACGTAGAATTATTTACAGTGGATCTGTTTTTTTATATTGCCAAGAGTCAAATGATTCTTATTTTCTTTCGTATAAGCAGTTTAGTGTAGACACAGTCTTTTGGGGCTGAAACTATTAAGAGACAAATACTGGAAGAAAATAGAGTCCTTGTGTTCATGAATTAAAATTATTAAATATAGGCTTTTTTAAGGAACAAAAATTCAAGGAATTCTCTTATTCATATAAATGCTTAATAGTTTTTCTTTCTTTTAGTATTTTATCCTGATTTTGAAAAATCAGGATCTTGCCCTGAGTTTTTATTGCATGTCATAGCTTTATTAAATTTAAGCACCTAAAAGAATTTTTAGATACATTCACGAATTAATTCATTGTGCTCTTCATGGATTCGACAAATGCTTATTGAGCGTTTTCTGTATTCCAGACACTGTGCAAGATATTGGGGAGAAGAGAATACATAAGACACATCAAGAGGCCTACACTCTAGTGAGGCATAATGTCAAACATATAGGCAGTCAGTTAATATAGTAGGATGAGCAGTATGATAGAAATAGGCACAGGGACTATGGTGGTACTAGGAATCACTACACTAACAAAAGTTTAGTCAAGGAAGGCTTGTGGACAATAGCCAGGTACATGGGAGGTGAAGCAGGAAAGGAGATGCAGAATTTAGGCAGAATGTTTCCAGGCAGAGAGAACATGAAAGCTTGGCAGGCTCAAGAAATTACATATAGGTCTCTGTGATTTTACAAGTAATGAAGACCATGAGATACTGAATAGCAGATTTCAAGCTGGGGGCTTAGTATGACTGATTTCCAGTGCAGAACTCTTCCCACTGTTCTTGTGTCTGTACAGAGAGCCTATGTTGAGCGTGACAATAATAAGTTACACTCACCTGTCAAAACACCCTGCAGATGCTGTTTTTTTTTTATTATAACCACACTTGACCATCTAAAATTAACATAACAGAATTCAGTGCTATAACGAATGAAATGTAATATATGGCATAAAAATCAAGTTGGTTATTTATATTCAGAATATTGAAATAGATCAGATACCAGTTAAATCTATGGCTAAGCTAACACATTTATTAAATGTCTTTATAGACATACAAAACTGAAAAATTGGATAGTTCTGTTCTTATCATTGAAACTCTAAAATGTATTTTTTATTTATATGAAACCTTTTTCTTTTTAATCCATGAAAATATGATTTATCCAGATTTTCTTGTACTTCATAAAATACCAAGGTATTGAATCACAAATATACCCTAATTATATCAAACGGTTATAATTTTAAAGTATTCAATTGAAATATCATACGTATGTACTTTATGTATTTGCTGTAAGTAGTATCAATTACGATGCTGAATATGTTGGCTCAGTTAATTACTATTATGTAATATTTGTGCCTAAAGACTTATTCTACTTTATGATTTTTCATTGAAGTTTGTTTTCCTTAGGAAAATGTTTTACCAAGCATAACTATTATCTACTACTATGAATTTATTTTATTCTTTACACTGATAATAAGCAATGAAAGAAGAATCTTTCCCTTCTGAGGAAAATCTAACATTTCCAACAGAAACACATTTGGTTCAGTTTACACAGCATTGAGTTTTTAGCACCTGTGTGCTTTCTTTGAAGTTTAAGTCAAACAGTTCATATTGTGTTATTTGAATTGTTCACAAACTATTTTCTTTTATCTGAATACAGAAAGGGAAATTGGGTAAAATTGGTAATATATCATCTTTTCCTTTGTGCAGATAACTCCTCTTGGATATGTTATTATTCGGTATCATAGGGCTGCCATCTAGTGTCTCCACAGGGTACTTGTTTGTTAAGTTTGTGAAATTGATTAAAAGAGGAACTTTGATACAGTGTTTTCAGATTGGGATAAGTACAGTAAAATTGTTGTGAACTAATGTGAAGATTATTTTCCCATGATAGTTCTGTTTTCAAATATGGAAGTTCTAGAACTCTTTTAAGACATTAAGTCAAACCAAATATTAAAAACTTAAGAAACAGAAAACTGTCATGATTTTTAAGAAATCTGTTTTTTGGTACCCATTTGTGCATTAAGCATTCGGCCAAGTCCATGTTAGAAAAATAGAATAATTTTCCAAATTGGCCTTTATATTTTATATGGGGAATATAATCAAGTTTAATAATTAACAACAAAAACATTTCAGAAAAATCCTCGCTCTGGTGGTCCAATAGTCAATGAACACTTTTATGGGTCATCTCATTCTTTCATGCCATAAAGTTGATGTTCCCCAAGGCCTTTTTAATGAATTTAACATGATTCTCTTTTATCCATGTACAACTAGTGCAGAATGCCTCCCACAAACGGTTCATATCCCTAACCACTGAATGCATTTTATCTCAAAATCGCCTTCTCCACATAGAGGTATAACTTTCTGAGGAATATAACAGTAACTGACTTTGATATAAATTGTGTTGCTTTTTTTCCCTTCTGTTACCAAACGACATGCTTAAATACGAGTTCTGATATAACTTTTCTCTATCAAATTTATTTTAGGTCCAGAGGTAAAGCATCTTTTTTATTTTCTGTTACTTTCCTTATCACATCTCTCACTTAGTGTACATTTGAGTTACAGGATGAACTCAACAAATACAGCTCTGTTTTTTTTAACTTGTTATCTGGAAAATTTTCAACTCCAAAGAAAAATTGAAAGAGGAGTAAAATTTACACCTTTGTACCATGTACCTGGATTCATCAGTTGTTAATACTCTGCCATATTTACCCCCTCTCTCCTGTTTCTCTTATATTACATACACGTATAGTTTAAAAGCGAATTCCTTGGTGGGAAACCTAGATTTTATTTACCTATTTCCTGTATATATTTTTTAAGTATCCTTAGTGGATTTTGTGAACCAAAGAAGCTGTTTACCTTTACTTGCTTTGTATAAATGAAAATTAGTTTATTATTTTAACATTTTTAAAAGCTTGCTTTTCCTAAGCCTTTAAATTCAGTTTATATCTCATTTTTCTATTTTTAAATCTGCTATAACAAAAGCAATTATCTTCACTTTTTAAAAAGTAAATCGGTTAACTAAGTTGAAAATAAACTTCTTTATAAAGTGTCCTATTGACAGCACATTTGATTACTTTCTCAAATTTTAAGCCATACAAACATATTCAGTCTATTCAAGTTTTTCTCAAAGTTTTAAAGGCCTTAGCTTAGAAACAACCCTTTATAAATATTGAAATAATTTAAAAAATCTAATAAAATTTATAAACCTGAGGGGCACCTGGGTGGCTCAGTCGGTTGAGCGTCTGACTCTTCATTTCGGCTCCGGTCATGATCTCGGGGTCATAGGATCAAGTCCTGCCTGGGGCTCCGCGCTCAGCGGGGCGTCTGCTGGAGATTTTCTCCCGCTCCCTCCGCCGCCATCCTTCTCCCCACTCGCTCTCTGTGACTCTAAAATAAATAAACAAATAAATCACTAAAAAACTAAAATTTATAAACTTGAAATCAAGTTCTCCTAAATTCTGTTTATATACTCGGTCAAATTTTTAAACCTGTACCTTCAATAATTCTAATTCTAAAATTAATTCGGTTAAATGTACTAAATTGGAGATACAATTAATTTGAATTCTCTTAAACTTTAAAGCACTTGAAATACCATTTGGACACATTCCGTATTTAACAGGAAAACATTAATACATTGAGCTCAGTGTGGTCATCAGCTCTATATTTTTTAAACCTGACCAGAGTTATAGGATATTCATTATGAGAATTTGACCACCCTAAATTGAGGCTGGTGCTTCTAGTGATCTGCTACTATCATTTGCTTCTTTTAGAGATTTTTGCCAGGGACAGGACACCCAAACTGCATATGCCTAGGACAGTCCCTCTGGCCCCACTCATGGGCACACTGATTATCTTTTGTTGTCCCTTTGACAAAAGAGAACTCCAAGTTCCTATGCTTGAGAGGTGTCAGTCTTTCTGCAGGCCCCTTTACCTTTATTTTATTTTTCTATTTGTTATTTTTTTTCCTCTTCCCATAAGCTGTTTTAATGTTTTTCTGGCTGTTTCCAAGGACACATTGTCATTTCTTGAAACCCTGCGTACATTTGTGATTCCTTGATCTGACTTTAAGTCTGGGACCTCCACCGCATGTTATAAGTGACTTCGTTCATTCTGTTAACTGATTAAATTATAAATTATATCATTCCCATCTATGCCACAAACATACAAATTATATGACAACTAATTGGATTATTTACAACTTTGTCAGACTTTGTGGTTCCTATACTAAAATCATGTTAATGGAAGCAATCTCTTGTTCCAAGAAGGATTTCAGTTAGGTGTCTTGCATATAATACCAGTAATAATAATATAAAAATTAATAATAATACCCTGATGATATAAAGGTTAAAAGAAGTTTGGTAAAATAAAATGAACCAGATTACTTGTCAAATATTTATATAGGTCTGGGGCGCCTAGGTGGCGCAGTCAGATAAGAGTTAGACTCTTGATTTTAGATCAGGTCATGATCTCAGAGTCATTAGATCAAGCCCTTCGCGGGCTCTGCACTCAGCGCGGAGCCTGCTTGAGCTTCTTTCCCTCTGCCCCTCCCCTCCACTTGCGCATGTTCTCTTTCTCTCTCTCAAATAAATAAATACATCTTTAAAAAAAATGTATCCATGTAGGTCTTAGTATATGCCAGCTATTGTTTGAAGTGTTTTACTCTTTAAAGTACTTTTGAGTGCTATTCCTATTTGGAAATGGGGAAACTGAGGCACAGAGAGGTTAAGCAACCAGCCCAAGTTCACACAGCTAGTAAGTGGCAGTCGATATTCCAGCCCTAGCAATCTGACAGTACCCATGCTCTTACAATAGTATTCACTTCATGAGGTCATATACGCAGTAAACCTGGATATGTTTGATGTCATTGTGACATATAGATTGTTGTCAGATCCAGAAACAAATACTGACTTCTTTTGAACTGATGTTTCCACGTAGGTAATGAATTGTTTGCTGGACTTTATAGTGATTACTGGGGCAGAGACGCTGCGATCTTCCGGACAATGGGGCGACTGGCCCATATTCGCACCGAGCATGACGACGAGCGCCTGTTGAAAGGTAGGGTTCGAGAGAAAAAGAGCATATAAATCAGAATTGAAAACAAGTCTAGAACTCAGGAGAAATTTGCCATTTTGATAATAACAATACAAATGTCTTTTACAGTTTTTACAAATTTCAGAATTTTAGTAATATTCCTAAATTAAAATATTATCTGTAATATGCATATATCATTTTAGATCAAAATGGACTGGCTGTATTATAAAACCAAATTACCCACATAGCAATACTTAGAAATCAGGATTTAAGTGAAGAAAACAAACCAAATATATGAAAAGCAAAACAAAACAAAACAAAAAAACTCCTTTTATCCAGTAAGTTGTTTTGTTTTCTCTTGTCAGTTGGTATATTTTGGATGAATTGATTGTTTTGCTTATTTTAATGGGATCACATTGTATTTAGAGACAAATAAAATTCTAGGAAAATCACTAGCCATTTGTTGATAGAAATAATGTTTATGTTTTGGCACACTGGTCTATTCAGGGATGAAAATATCATTTAATAATGAATTTTTTTATTATTTTTAGCCTTTTTATTAAGCTTTAGAGTACGTAATCATTATTGGCAGCATATTATCATTAAAATATTTGACATAGTATATTAGTCAAGGGTTGTTCACGCCGATCCCTTAGACTACAAACATAAAGACTTAAAATAAATTTTCTACCTTAAAAATTAAAATCGTCTTCCATGAGCTGCACTGGTAGATAATCTATGAATTTAAAAAAATGATAAACTTCTCTACTCAAATATTTTACATATATTCATGTTGACTTTTTATATATATGGGAGGAAATTAATGGAGATGATCACCATCGTGCCCCTAATCTGTTCTTTGAATGCATTTTAAGGTATGTTGTTTGAAATTGGTTTTTCCTTTCTTGACTCTTATTTTCCAATTAAAATGTCCTCTCCTAGTTCTAGACAAAACTGTTGGTTTGCAAAGAGAATGGAGATGTCTACGTGATTTCACTGTTTATACAAAATGTCAAGGAAAAGACTTTATTGAAACTGAAGCATTCATGTGATAGGTAATTTATTGAATAACCTAGCATTTTGTGGTGATAACTATTTTACTTTTCTTCTACTTTTTTTTTTTTTTTATATCTGTAGAGCCAAAATTTGTAGGTTCGTACATGATTCCTGACAATGAAGACCGAGATGACAACAAAGTGTATTTCTTTTTTACCGAGAAGGCCCTGGAGGCCGAGAACAGCGCGCAGGCCATTTACGCCCGAGTGGGGCGACTCTGTGTGGTGAGGCCTTTCTCTCTTGTTCGGCGTGCTTACCTCATGGTTTACCGCCACGCCTTGGTGATTGTATAGTAGGCTTTCTACTTTAAGATATTTTCTAGTTTAAAAAAAAAAAAATTTCTAGGATTCTGTAGGCTGCCTAAAACCAGTATTCGCTATCTAATCGTGAGACTGCACATCTCCTGAAAGTTTTATCCTAACAGAACTGTGCCTTTTGTGTAATCGTCTCATTTTCAAAGCCATACTAAGAAGAGCGAGTCTGTAGGTAGGCTGTATTTCTTCCCACACAGAAGTTTGAGCTCCCTTTTTAAAAATTAATTTAACCAAAATCTTTCTAGTTTCTTTAGTCCACATTCTAAGTAATTTATATTATGTTTCAACAATTCAGTTGGTTGATTCTGTAGAAAAAACATCTGTGGTTGGTTGGGTATTCAGATAGGCTGTTTGTGAATATTCAAAACCAACTGAAGTAGCAATGTATATTGAGAGAATTGCAAAGGTAAAGTTTGATATTTAAGAATAAATTTAAGAGGGGCGCCTGGGTGGCTCAGTCGTTAAGCGTCTGTCTTCAGCTCAGGTCATGATCCCAGGGTCCTGGGATCGAGCCCCGCCATCGGGCTCTCTGCTCAGCGGGAAGCCTGCTTCTCTCTCTCCCACTCCCCCTGCTTGTGTTCCCTCTCTCACTGTCTCTCTCTGTGTCAAATAAATAAATAAAATCTTAAAAAGAATAAATTTAAGAGGAAATTGATATATACACATATATGTGCATGTATGTACATTTGTGTGTGTATGTGTGCAAATATATGTGTATGTGCTGTGTATGTGTGTATTTCAACTTTTTTTTTCTTTTAGAAAAAGAAGAGTGGATGTTTTCTGTATTTCCAAGATAAGCAGATTATCATTAATACTAAGTTTATTGTATTATAAAAGCCACTGCTTTATATAGGATAGGCCACTCTATTAACATTCTTCAATACCTGGAAAGTATATTTAATGGCCCAGAGTGAAAGTATACTAACGAGGCACACTGTGCAAACCTCGAAGAGTTTTTATGGGGAATTGCGTCTTTGGTATTATTTGAGGATTAGGCTACATTTTCCAGATTAAATAAAAAGAATTACAGCTGTTCTCATCTGCATGTTTAGTAATACACAATTTGTTGTTGTCAGAAGCTCTTTAGGTACTCACTCACCTGCTTTTGTTCATCACAGAATGATGTGGGAGGCCAGAGGATACTGGTGCATAAGTGGAGCACTTTCCTAAAAGCCAGACTGGTCTGCTCAGTACCAGGCAAGAATGGAATTGACACCTATTTTGATGAATTAGGTAAATCTTCTTGAGAGAATTGAATTTTACTCTGTGCTGTGTATTCCTCTCTCCACTCCTCACTCTCTCTAGCACGTATGGAAACTTGCTTCCTGCAATGAGCAATTTTCTGGTCTTTTCATTGTGGCCCGGTCGGCATGGTGGGGTCAGGGGAGTTTCAGGAACAGGAGATCCCTCTCGATAGCTGACGGTCAGCACTCCGTTCCTTCCTTGAGGCCCAGCTCGGGGTCATCCTGAACAGCCAAGTGTTTCGCTCTGTTGTGATTTGGTCTTGGGCGTATGACTGTGTACGGAAAGAAATTGATGTCTTACATCTGTAATGGGTTCTAAGCTATTTTATGTCAATATATTTTCTTTACATGCAAAGAGGACTAAAAATATTCACGTAATGGTCTTTAATTTTCCAGAGGATATTTTCTTGCTGCACACCAGAGATCATAAGAACCCAGTGATATTTGGACTCTTTAACACTACTAGGTGAGAAATTTATATGGTCTATAAAAACAGGATGAAGCAAAGTATGCCTTACTCCTTTACTGTGTATGGAAGTTGGAAATACTGTTGACCCATTGTCCTTGTCTATTATTTTTTGTCACCAATTTCTCTTTGTTCTCTTATGTTTGCAATTGTTCTTTTATCTTTAAAGCCGTGATCTCACTTCAGATCTTTATTTGTTACTGTTTGAAACGCCCCACCATCCTTCTGTGCTCCGGGTCCTAATCTCCCTCCTCTCCGACTTCCTTCCTCGTCCTTCTCTCAGAATGATTTTCTTCTCGTAGTTTATGATATTAGTCCCATGCTATAGAGGCTAGCATAATTCTTTTAATTGTCATTTAGTTTTCCAAATCAGGTTTTCAAGGTTCTCTATCCACTGTTAGCCCCTCTGCTTTGGAAGTTTTTCCTCCAGGATTATACCTTGACAGAATCTGTGTCCAACTCATTAGGGTTCCATCACTACGATTTTATTTACCCGCCTGTCTTGCTTCACCTGGCTTTATCTTCCAACACTGACTTGTATCAGTTCTCCAGTACTTGTCAGTTGCCATCTATAAGAAATATTCTTTGATATCTTAATCACAGAGCACTTTGCTCACTCCTTTATTCAGGTTGTCACTGCTCCCGTGTAGATTCATAGCAAACATATATTTATGATTTGCCTTCCATGTTTTAAACTTAATTAAGCTGTTCAAGTTTAGGGAATATAATCTGTTTTTTCTCTTTAACGTGTTTGTATTTTGTCCATCGAAGAGTGTTAGAAAAATATGAAATGTTATTTCATGTGTGTCAATACCTGAATGAAAAAATATCATTAGAATCAGTTTTGGTTGAAATTTTGCACATATAATTTCCTGAGTTTGTCTTTCCACATAGGAGAGGGTGGAGGTGAGATGACTGGAATGAGAAATAAAGAATATACCTTGGGCTGCCTGCGTGGCTCAGTTGGTTAAGCGTCTGACTCTTGATTTTGGCTCAGGTCATGATCTTACGGTCTTGAGATGGAGCCCCGTGTTGGGCTCTGCTCTCAGCGCAGAGTCGGCTTGAGATTCTCCTCCTCCCCCTCTCCTTCCCCTGCTCCCCCATCTCTCTCTCTCTCTCAAATAAATAAATCTTAAAAAAGAAAAAAAAAGAATATACCTCAGTTCTTTTGACAGGAATAGAATGACTGAATTCCCTTCCTCTTTTGCATTGCACTGGCCTTAAACTGTGTTATAATCACACTTACCTTGTTTGCTCAGGGTCTCTCCACAAAGCTTTTGTTTGTTTTTTCAGCAGGTGATTTCGCACACTCACTTTGAAAACAATAATAAAGTTCTTCCGATAAATATTGTGCTATTGTAAGGAGACCTTTTCTTCAACAGAGAAACATGGAAACAATTTTGCTATCAGTTCTTCCTTGATGCAAAGTAAAGTAGTGCATGTAGATTGGTAGTTGTCACAGTCATCAGAAAATCCTTTTTTTTTTTTAAACTTCATCTTTATTCTTACGCCAGTGAAGAATTTATACATTGCATTCTAATTCCATGGCTTTATATAATAAATAAAAGCTATGGGATAACCAGAACAGGTTTTCTGTGGGTTCGTATGGTCAGTTTATGAGCTACTTTCCTAAGCGATAGCATAATGGATCTGTCTAGATTTCAAAGACAACACGTTATTTTCTTCCATTATTTCGGTTGTGACTGTTACTTTATACATAAATCTGAGGAAAAGGTTTCCCAGCTGTTACCTGACGTAAAGGTTGGTGTATGTAGCACGGTGATCAAAGGTTTATTGCCACTTTAGTTGGGAGACTTTCTCTGGTTTTCTCACTATTGCAGGCATTTCCAATTGCTTCAAGGTGTGTTATAAAATGTGTGAATTGATGTCCTAAGACAGTAATATAACTGCTGTTCTACAGGTGTCTCTGAGTGTAGGAACTTCTACGTTTAGAAAGAACTGGGCATTGTGCAGAGCACTTGCCTAAACATTAATTATTTTGATTCTCACAGGAGGATGGGGACATGTTAGAATTCATTCAGAGCCTGCCAAATTAAGGAAGACGGCCAGATTTGTATAACAAATCACTTAAAAATGTCCTTTTGCAGAATCTCATCGCAAAAGCCCCTGGTAAAACTTGCTATAGTCAGTCATCGGCAGGCTTTATCTTTTGCACATAGAACTTTCTATTAAAAAAAAAATGATTTCAATTGCTGCTAGTTCTGGAGGTAAAGAATCCGAGTTTTATATAATTTAAATCATTTTCCTCCAAATTAATGTAGTTCAGTCCAGTAATCTTTCCAATATGGTACAGTTTCAGTGGCCTGGAGGTCACTGGAGGAGGGGATGTACAACAAGCTTATTGATGCCTCTGTGACCCCAAGGTAAAGAATGGAACAAAGCCCCAAAGTTTCATAGGACTTTAACTTGTTATTTGATCATAGACACTGAGAAATCAAATAAAATTTGAACAGAATTACCAGTATTAACAGCATAGTGATTAGGCAAACACTGTCTACTCTGAATATGAAACAACAGACGAGATAAAGCTTAAAATGAATAATTCAGCTTGGGAACGAATCTTTTTAAATATTCGGTCCATATTTTCCTTCACGAAAATGTAAAAACACAATCTAAGATTTAGCAATAATAAAGTGAGGTGACAGATGTCACTGTTTTTAGTCTAACAGTGTCATCTTCAGTTTATTGTAATAAGAAGGTAAAGAAATGGTAAGTTTTAGAGTTCCAGTACTTGAAATATTACAGTAGTTATTATTTCTAGAATATCCTCTATTTAAGAGATTGCAACTTTTTTATCCAAAAGACTTCATCCTTATCTCTGTAGTCTGAAGGGTGTGACTAGCTAACTCCTAGTCAGTTCCAGAATAGTAATTATCTTTTTTTTTTCCAGTAATATATTTAGAGGGCATGCAATATGTGTCTATCATATGTCTAGCATCCGGGCAGCCTTTAATGGACCATATGCACATAAGGAAGGACCTGAATACCACTGGTCACTCTATGAAGGAAGAGTCCCTTATCCAAGGCCTGGTTCCGTAAGTGTGGGCATTTAACACAGTATCCTTATTTTTTAAAGGCTCTCTTAGTAATATTTTGTTCAGTGTTTCAGATGCTCTACAAAACTTCCATTAAACAGTGAAGAAATTCTACACCCAAAAATGTGCTTGATTACTTGCACAGTAAAGAAATATCACTTCTTATATCTGGTTGTATGCTTTTTATTTAATGAAAAAAATCTATGATGGGTACATTTTAGCAGCATTATAAAGTCCGTATTATCATTGATATTTTGGCTAAGGAGCCCCAACTGTACAACTGAAATTGTATTTTTAAGATACACTGGTGAACACAGCAACATCCACTAAAAAGAGCATCACATTCCTCTGTTTCTTCAGAAGAATTAAGGCCACGTGCAATTTCCAAGGGGGAGAAAGTTACCAAATAATTACATTGTAATATTTGAGTCAGCCTCTAAGTTCCCTAGGCCAAACTTTCTCCTTACTTTTCACTTTAGCTTGACTGGAAGAAGCCTTTTCTCTTCCTCACCACAATACTTAGCATCTCATTCAATATCCTTGCTGGCTCCTGGGACGAGAAATGCCAATACAAAAGTGCAGCTAGAGTTCCAGAAGTTTTGCTGCTGACCTCTGCCCTGGTGCTGCCGAGAGGGAGCCCTCGTGCTCCAGCTCACCATGCACACTTTGGTGCTTTTACTTACACGTGTATCTAAAAACAATGTTCTGTGCACAACTGGGTTGGCAAAATGTAGGCTCGTAGGTGCTCATGGACCATGGAGAACTGACATTTAACTTGCTGTACAAGTCAAAGTCTACACTTTTTTGAGCAGCTGGTGAAAACCCATCACTGTGCTGATTCCTCAAGTACTTGCAAGTCAAGTAGAAACCATTTTTGCAGAGCCAAAATCCAAAGTGGAAACAAACTTTCCCTCCATTAACAAGTGTAAAGCTTTACCATTTCAATCATTCTCACTAGCTTAAAATTACTACTTCCAGTAAGACATAAAGTATACTTTATTTCACTCTATTGATTGAAATTACAATTTAAATGGAGAAAACCCACTCCTGTGGCTTTGCTGGAAATGCTTCTTGAAACCACATGGTATTAAAGGAGATTTGGAGGAAGTGACTGGTTACTGAACTGCTTCCAGGCTGGTCCAGAATGTTTCCAATTATGTATCATGTAAGTACACTCCAGTGAAAAATTCAGGCCAAATTAAGAAATATGACCTGAATTTTAAAACAAACCATTAAAAATGCCCTCTTTGCAGAATCTGATTACTACACTACTGTATTTATACCTGAAAGTGGAAAATTCCTTATCAACATAATCATTGCAATTGCTGCTGATTCTGGAGGGAAAAATACAAAATGAAGGAGTGCTTAATAACAAGCATGAATCAATGCAGTTAAAGGTATTTCAAGAAATAACTGAGGTGCTGTTGAACATTTATTTTTTGAGTCAGTGATTTAAGAATTCAGGCATGTTATAGCAAGTATTTCTCGTTTTCTCAACTTATTGTGTTGAATCCATACAGAAATAATATAAATTCATACAGATTACAGAACAGAGAGGTTTTTTTTCCCTTTAATTAACACTGACTGAATTTGAATAGGTTTCTTTGTTACAGCACTAAAATTCTATCGTCTGTGAGTCCATTGGAACCATCACATTATCTTAGTCTCAGTAATGGGAAAACTGTTTTGTGCAGTTGTGATCCTTAATCCAGGGCAGGGGACTTAACACAACAAAGAAGCTTTTTGTTTTACTATGAAAATACTTTGTTTTGGTGGCGCCTGGGTGGCTCAGTCGTTAAGCGTCTGCCTTCGGCTCAGGTCATGGTCCCAGGGTCCTGGGATCGAGCCCCGCATCAGGCTCCCTGCTCCGCGGGAAGCCTGCTTCTCCCTCTTCCACTCCCCCTGCTTGTGTTCCCTCTCTCACTGTGTCTCTCTCTGTCAAATAAATAAAATCTTTAAAAAAAAAAAAAAAGAAAAGAAAATACTTTGTTTACAATTCAGAAGTTATTTTACAATGTGAAAAAATATCAGAAAACGGGGGGAAATAATAATATTTATGATGATACACATCTTTACCATCTTCGAATTGTACCAGTATTATTTAGTACTTCATTTTTCCAAGATTTCACTACTTTCTGTGTTTATCTAGAGCTGAATGTTTGGAATGATTCAGGCTTTCTTTGCAATCTTTACTGCAGATTTTTTTTCTCTAATGAAGATTTTATTTCTCTAATGAATATGTGGTTGCTAAATATTTCTAACTGCAGTTGGTTAATTGAACACATTCAGTTTTCTGATTGTTTTTGTAATTGATTATAAATGTGCTCTTTAGGTTTAAGGCAAAAAAAAAAAAAAATTACCTATTTGTATTTCAGTGTGCCAGCAAAGTGAACGGCGGGAGATACGGAACCACCAAAGACTATCCCGATGATGCCATCCGATTTGCAAGAAGCCATCCACTTATGTACCAGCCCGTAAAACCTGCCCATAAAAAACCAATCCTGGTAAAAACAGATGGAAGATATAACCTGAAACAAATAGCAGTAGATCGAGTGGAAGCTGAGGATGGCCAATACGATGTCTTGTTCATTGGGACAGGTAAAGAGATTAGAAAGTGCTGAGACATGTATGTTGAATCTTAAAATCAGTAACATTATTAGTATTTTAAAAACCTATCCACAGATCTCCTGTTAATCCGTTAGCCCGTTTGCACACCGCTTATTCCCTGAAATGGAAGAGAGGATTTGGGGCAGTTACAACGCATAATTCCTGATACACAGTCAGTACTTAGTATCTTTGAACAAGTGACTAAGTGAAGGATTGAGTAATTGATGTTAATAAACAACACTGGCGGGCGCCTGGGTGGCTCAGTTGGTTCAGCGACTGCCTTCGGCTCAGGTCATGATCCTGGAGTCCTGGGATCGAGTCCCGCATCGGGCTCCCTGCTCGGCGGGGAGTCTGCTTCTCCCTCGCGCCCTCCCCCCCTCATGCTCTCCAACTATCTCATTCTCTCTCTCAAATAAATAAATAAAATCTTAAAAAAAAATAAACAACACTGGTTCCAAGCAGAACTTCTCATAGAAGAAGGAGGCCACCATAGCAAGGATGCCTGTTCAGTAAGATCTCAAGGCTTCTTAAGCCACTTGGGACAGTAGCTTCACCTAAATCTGTAATCACACAACAAGGCTTATCAGGCCCCATCAGAACCAACCATTTGTATCAAACAGGCCAAGTGTTACCCATAATGGAGGTAAACTTTTAGAGCCAAGCTGTAATATTCTGCATTAATGAAACAAAATAATAAATATGCTAAAAAGTGAAATTTTCAAATAAATCTACAACTTCAATTAATTCCATACATTAGATCTAGCTTGGGGAAGAGAACCTGGAATCTTTTAGCATCTGGGTAATAATATGACAAATTCTGTCAAGTACTTTAAAATTCTACAGACATTTAAAAAGCCTTTTAAGTGCTCATTTCTTTCTTTTCTTCATATTCATGATAGTCATTGCTACAGCAGTTGCTATTTAGAAGAGTAATCGTCCTACATTCTACAGAGACATTGCATATACCCAGATTAGGAGCCAGGATATAATATTAATACTGGTGCTTGGGCTTCTCCATTCATACTTTTCAAAAAAATCAAAGAAGTAAGGAAACATTCATCTGATTTGCAGAACTTGCTCTCTGGTATAGGCAATATTTTACCCTTATTTTAGGAGGTTCATGTTAATAATATGCTCTGCACTCTGGATTCAGGATTAACAAAGCATCACATTTCTTTAACAAACTTAAAATTACTTGGCCATGCATGAATTCACTCATAATGATATATACTAGAGCTTTTTTTTTTTTTAAAGTTCCATGAACAAGAATAATATTTGATAGAATTAAGCATGGGAAAAGGCATGTTATTTTTATTTTTATTTTTTTTTATTATAAGATTTTATTTATTTATTTGACAGAGAGAGACACAGCAAGAGAGAGAACACAAGCAGGGGGAGTGGGAGAGGGAGAAGCAGGCTTCCCGTGGGGCAGGGAGCCCGATGCGGGGCTCGATCCCAGGACCCTGGGATCATGACCTGAGCCGAAGGCAGACGCTTAACGACTGAGCCACCCAGGTGCCCCAAGGCATGTTATTTTTAAATGTCCTGGAAAGCAGCAGTCATATACAGTATATCAGTCCAAGACTGTTTTTGGAAATACTTTCTCATTAGATTGACCAAAGCTGTTTGAGAGAATTCCAGAAATATCAGATATATACTTATGCTATCATGTAAACGATGTTTATCTCAGAGATATCATCATATTGAGCCACAGCTTAATAGCGCAAAAGAACATATTTGGTGAAAGTGTGATGTGTACAACATTGGAAAATCCCACAAATGAGAGTTATTTTTCCACACGTGCTTTTATTAAAAGTATAAAATACTGTACATAGGTAGAGAAAGTCCTCATTGCAAATCACTATTTGCAAATTAATAATTTGAATTTCATCTTTGCTTTTTGCTTGATATAATAATAACTGAATGTTTATTATGTGTTCTCGGCTTAAAAATTATAGTTTGTATTCCTTTTCACGTACTATCCAGGTAATTGTTACTAGTTTTATTTTAAACAAATTTTATTTACCCAACCACAAAATTTGAGAATTTTTAAACAAATTACTTAAATACCATATAATTCTTAGGTCAATACTTCCAAAGTGCTTATTTTTTTCTGAGCTGTTTTTAGCACTACATCAAATTATTCTTACAGGCAAGTAAGTGTCATATTAAAATTTTTTTGAAAAGACCAAGCTCAGAATATCAGGTATAATAAAAATTAGATGGAATTTTAAATTATGAATTTAAATTTATAAAATTATTGATAACTATGGCAGCTAAATGATTAATGCAAGAGTACTTATACTGTTCTCTCAATAGTATATACTTGAAACTTTTCTTATTAAAAGTGTGTGTACATATGTATCATATCAAATAGCATTGTGTACATATTAATACATTTTGATTTCTCAGTCTTTTTTTTTTTAAGATTTTATTTATTTGACAGAGAGACACAGCGAGAGAGGGAACACTAGCGGGGAGTGGGAGAGGGAGAAGCAGGCTTCCCGCTGAGCAGGGAGCCCGACGCGGGACTCAATCCCAGGACTCTGAGATCATGACCTGAGCCAAAGGCAGACGCTTAATGACTGAGCCACTCAGGCACCCCTGATTTCTCAATCTTTAATTGAATTTCTGAATCAAATTATTTGAAAAATAATTACATATTATTTGGTCTTATTTTTTAGCAAAGCATATAGTTATATGAATATATAGGTAATCATATTGCTTCAGCTAGCAGTAATTAAATGTTTCATGCATCTAAATCTCAAAGCGTATTCAAATTCGTAGTCCCTGCATGGTTTTTAATTGTTTTGAAAACCAGATTGTGACAAGCTTCTGGTTTCTCTCTTCTTTTCCTTTCTTACAGATAATGGAATTGTACTGAAAGTAATCACGATTTATAACCAAGAAACAGAATCAATGGAAGAAGTAATTCTAGAAGAACTTCAGATATTCAAGGTATTTTTATAAGAAAAAAACATAGCCAACATTTATGTATTACAACTGCAAATGAGTTGTAAATAGGAAAGATGTTAGATCAGTTTTTTTTCCAATAGGTATGTTGTGAATTCAGAGTGAATTTGAAGTGAGGAATGGTTTAAAATCTATGTGATTATTGCAGACTATTCAAATGAGAAGGCCAATATTTGCCCAGCTAGCATGAAAATAAGTTCAGTATATGAACTGTGACTTAAAGAAATAATGCATTTGTAAAATGAGACTTGGCAATAATGATTCTGGAATTCATATGTGGTATGTGTTATTTCTTTAAGTCACAGTTCATACAATTAAAAACCAAAAAAAAAGCAAAAAATGATAATGCAAAGATTAGACATGACAGTCGTATGTACACACACACACATACACACACAGACTCAAGTGTCAATATTTGTGGCAGGTATGGTCTTTAAAATCACCGTGAACACCATTAGTGAATACTGGCCAGCGCTCTTAGGGGACATACGGGATTAGGTTCCTGTGAGTCTCTAGTCACAACATTTTTATCAACCGATCAATATATAACTTTGTTCTTTTTGTGTTTTTAATTGAAAGATGCCTTATTTAGTATATATTGTTGATTAACATGGAGCCCATGGGTCACAGCACTGTAACGCATGCATGAACAGAGCTTATTTAACACATGTATTTTCCCATAATACACATCACAGCCTTTTGAAGCTTTGAAACACTACAGCACTTTAGCGCTTTGCTTAGAGGCTATTTTAAACATCAAAATTGCCAATAAAACACAAAAATGTGAAAAACATGGCATTAAATAGACCATGAAAAGGACACTTGTTTAGAATACGAGAGCTGAAACAGGAAGGCAGAGTGTCGCATTCATTGATCTCAGCTGGGGTTGTACTCATCGGGCAACCAAAATTTATTGCCTGTGTGTGCCTGCATGTGTCCATGAAGGACCACAGAACACTGTAAGTATTAATATTGGGAATACAAATAAATTTTAGCAAGTAAGCAAATGTGTAAAAAAAAAAGTCTGCAAATTATGAAGATTGACTGTATATGTTTGTAATGGATACATATGAAATTAGCTTTATTGATGAAAAACAGTTTGTTTCACCTTGGCTGTCCTGGAGATTAGATTCCCTATAGCCACACCCAGTGTTAAGCATGTTCCTACCTCAACCAGAGCAGCTGTGTTTTATTTATCTTGCATTATTGGATTTCTATGTCAGATTTCATTTCACATTAGGGACCATAGCATCTGCCACAGGGTTTTGTTCATATCAACCCTAAGAAACATTGTCACCTAAATGAATAAATGAGGGCATGCATGCCTGCCTAAAGGGTTCTATAGTTTAAAATACGGAAAAAAATATTGACACAGGGGATCAAGTTTTCTCTTTCAAAAAATAATTCTTTGAAGGATAATCATCCACAGAGTGGATCCCACCTGCCTGATGTTTGTGTACTGGCAGAATCCATCTGAGTTTGTGGTACTCATTTGAGAGACTTTACTCTTAATCACCATCCCTAGAATAACACACAGGCTCTCAAAGCTGTGTTGTAGATCATCTTTCCTCTGTTGCAGTTCGAAGACAGTGAAGTTATTCATCTTGCTCAAAGCATCCTGGGTTCATATTGATTGACCATGATAACACCAACAGAAAAAGTATTTTATTTAGTCTTGGATTAAAACAATTAAAGTCACATGGTTTGTTAACAATATCACCTATTCAGAGACATAACTGTTTCACTTCTAATGGTTCAAATACCTTATAAGAAAGAACACTGTGACTCTACTATTTATTTAAAGATACTTGAGTTTCCAAAGCTTGAGTAATATTCAAATGCAAATACAAAAATTACACTTCAGGAACAAATGGTGAGCTATTTAGATTATCCACTACTTTTTCACCTTACATATCTGTCCTGTTCCATTAAAAAGAGTTCTTAAAAGAAAGCTATTATTTAACGTAATTATATGTTCCTATTGATTTGCTAAAATAAAAGCTATAGGCTAGTATAGAACTAATCACATACCTAATATGAGTTCACATGATTTACAACCATATTAAAGTATGTTCCTGTATTTCCTTAAAAACTTAAAAAAAATTTTTTTTCAGGATCCAGTTCCTATTATTTCTATGGAGATTTCTTCAAAGAGAGTAAGTTTGTGTGTATGTGCGTGTGTACGTGTTTGTGTATGTGAGTCAAGGTCAAAGATAAAGAGCAGAAGTACATGTGCTTATACATGAACAAGTTACAGTTTTATTCTGATGAAAATATGTGATTTACATGTAATGGATTTATTTTTCTATTATTAGAGGAAGGTAGATAAGAGTAGATTTACTTCTAGTATCATGATAGGATGTTATTCTGTAATTTTTTTGTTAAAGTTTTTGCAAAAATAACAGTAAATGATGGTAACGCAAGAGTGTGCAGTGAAACACAAGGCTCCTCTCCACTTTACTAGAACCAGTTTCTGGTGCAGATTTCTCCAGAAATATTATCTCAAATTTATTTATAAATAACCATTTATGTTTAGGCAAACAGGAACATGTAATGTTACTTGTTCTGCTACTTATTGTTTTTACTTTACAATGTATCTCACAACTTATTCCCTCATTCTATGTATATATCTGTATCACTCTTTTAAATGTTATAGGTTAGTGTGCACTATTGTTGGGAATGTAAATTGGTGCAGCCAATATGGACAACATTACAGAATTTCCTCAATGTATTAAAAATAGAACATGTGATTAAACAATTTCATTTCTGGGTATTTATCCAAAGGAAACAAAACACTAACTCTGAAAGAAATCTGTACCCACATTTATTGTGGCATTGTTCACAATGGCCAACACGTGGAAACAACCTAAATGCCCATCAGTGGATGAATGGATAGAGAAAATGTGACCTATATGTACAATGGAATATTATTCGGACACACAAAAAAAGAAATCCTTCCATTTGTGACAACATAGTGGACCTTGAGAGCATTACACTAAGTGAAATAAGAAAAGACAGATACCACATAAACTCACTGATATGTGAAATTGAAACAAACAACAGGAAAATGAGCTTGTTTTTTACAGAGAACAGTTTGGCAGTTGCCAGAAGCAAGGGGTGGGAGGTGGGCAAAATGGGTGGACAGGATCAAAAGGTACAAATTTCCAGTTATAAAGGAAGACCTGGGAATGTAATTTATGGCATAGTGATTATAGTTAATGATACCCTAATGTATATTTGAAAGTTGCTAAGAAAGCACACACACACACACACACACACAATTCTTCCTGTATGTGTTGAGGAATGTTAACTAGACTTACTGTGGTGATCATTTCACAATACATACAAATATTGAATCTTTATATTTTACACCTGAAACTGAAATAGGGTTATTTATCAATTACATCTTAGTTTAAAAAATACAACAACAAAAGACCATTTACTTATCTAGTATGTTATTGGACACCTCTAAAGGTCTTTTAAAAAGACCTAAGGTATTAAATGATGAAAGAGGCTTTCTGTTTAAATAACAAAACAACAGTCAACTTCTTGAGATTTTGTCAAGCTCACTCTAGCAATTTTGTTTACGGGCGTCCAGGTCTATAAATATATTTCATATCTTAGAGAAATGAAAGTACCAGTGTTCCATTACCCATCCTGAGTAACTGCAGTAATTTAAATGAACATTCACAGAAGTGATTGTGCATAAATGTGAAATTCAGTGAGCATTCTGTCCCTTTCTGCTGGCGGCCTCTCTGTTCTTTGATGTCTCTAGCAACAGCTGTATGTTGGATCCGCTTCTGCCGTGGCCCAAGTCCGATTCCATCAGTGTGACATGTACGGAAGTGCTTGTGCTGATTGCTGCCTGGCTCGCGACCCTTACTGTGCCTGGGATGGCATAGCCTGTTCCCGGTATTACCCAACAGGCACCCATGCAAAGAGGTGAGAGAGGCCTCAATGGGCTATTTCCCTTGTTTAGAAAAGCCATAACGCTTTCTAAAATATTTTCCTTTCTACACACATCCCATGAAAATAACCATGTTAGTTTTGTTTAAATAAGCCATCATAATCATACTTTGTTCATAATCTAAGCTTTGAAAGTTGAATCTTACCTGAAAATAACTCCTATCAATTACTGTGTAGAGACTGGAGTTTTTATTGGGTTTTTAATTTCTTTTTAACCATGTTTGAATCAACTCTTCCCCCTCCTGACACTTTTGCTGCAAGACATGAGACCAGTTTAGATAAACTTAAAATGTGGAAATGGCAAGCCACCACACATGAGGGATTCAAAGACTTGAAAGAAAAATAAATAAATTCTAAAATACATCCTGCATTTGCCCCGTGTCCTCTCAACCAGCTGGTCTTCATTTATTTCATTTTGAAAGTGAATATGTTAACTCCTAGGCAAATGTATGACCTGTATAATTAATGAAATGTGTGATTTAATTCAACACAAATGAAAGGTACTTAGAGACCTCCAAACCCTGATGTGTACAATTCAGCGAGGTCATTGCCACTTGTAAAAGAAAGTAAATCTCAGGATTCTTTGAACAGAAGATCTTGAGGTCCAGAGAGTATTTTGAAGGATGGAGATATTTCTTTACTCAAGCCATATGAAATTGTGCGTGCTTTGTGGGGAAACATAAAAGAAAATATTTTTATTTATTATAAAATAAGCATTTACTTTTTTCTCCTAGTAAAGTGGCCAAAGACACTATAAAGCAAAAACACAGAACTATGTACAGTTTCCTTACTGAAAATTAAGTTTTTATTAATTTCAATTATTTTTACTCTTTGACTCTGGGTTACTTTTTTCAAACTTTTTTAAAAATTTCATTTAATATAGTTATTATATAAAAATCTCAATAATGTAGTTTGTTTTCAAGAATCAAGCAAATTGATTTTGTACCAATGCTTACTGATATTTAAAAACACTGCTTGAAGAATATAGCCATGTTACTATGTAAAAATAGTGTTCAATGATTTATTCACACACTACGCCAACTACCGTACTATGTGCATGGAGGATGGAGAAGTGGTCAGTACTCTGGCTATATGAAATTGGAACCTAAAGTGGAAAATGGAATTGTAAATAAGGATGATAGTAGGTCACTACTGAGCACTTATTACATATAAGATACTGGACTAAGCACAGTACACGTTATACATTATTTAATTCTCAAAATAACCCAGCCTTTGAGCTCAGTCTTGTAGGTGGAAATATAAGAAGATTCTAGTTAAAGGGAATTGTACAAAAGGCATAGAATGTTCAGGGAAAACCCTGTAGTTCCATAGGTTAGGAGTAAAGTAACTGGTTCTCAGGGTGGAAAGGTAATTTCACCGAAAATAATAAAATGAATTTTTTTATTGTTATTAGCAACAATAACAGTGTTTGCAAGCCGTGCATCAAATACTTGTGAATAACAAGGTTTTGTTTTAGTCATGCAATAGAGGTGATGAATGAATTCTTACTAAGCAGTTTCCGTAACTAGATACTTCTTGATCCATGGTGCATCTTATTAGAGTATACATCCACAAGCTTGATAATATATTTACAAAGGGTGGACAAAAAGTTATTTAGTAAAAGTCAAACGAATGGGCAGAATCTTAGGAAGGAGCCCAATGCTCGAGTCAGGAGCCGCTGTGCTCGTAAATGAGTGAATTCAGTTCAGTGACAAGTAATGGAGATCTTTCACTGGTGTCGGATTCTTTTGAACCATCACCCACCCCTGGAGGAGAACTTTTTGGATGGGTTCCAACACATGAAGGGAAAATAGTTTGCTTTTACAGCAATTCGTTGTTTCTTCAGACCTGACCAGCAGCAGAAATTAAAAACTGGTCATTAAAATAAATACTTTTCTGTTCACAGAGTGAAAATGAGTCAACAGAGGAAAAACATTAATTTGTAATCCAAACCACTTGTTTAAAATAGTCTTCCAAAATACACTATAATTTATAGAGCTAAGTCTTTTACTTCCCCTGGCCCTTATATTTTGTCTGTTTCCGGTGTGCTCTTAAAAAGTTTCTAAGTAGCAAGAGATAGAAGAAAAATAGGTAACTTTGAGAATAAAAGGCAACTTTGATGAACCTTCCTCAAACTCGTGAACATTTACGGTCTTTTTAATATGCTGAGGTAAAGGACAGTTATACGAAGATAGTATAAAGTGAACTGAACCCTTGTTGGGGGATGGGATAGCGTTCTTTTTAAATGCATGTGTTCATGACTTTAAACATACTCTTTGTGTTATTATTCACATTGCAAAATTTTGTGTTGTTATTCACATTGCATACCTAGAATTATCTGAATGCACCTCCCTTTATGCTCACATCACTCATATAATAAACCTGACAAAACGTTTCTGCAGAGTAGAAACTATTTCCCGTTTCCTTGATTTACCCCTGCTCCATTACTCACCACTGCTCAGCAGACTTCGGATTCCCAGTACCAGTGCAATACTTAATGAAGGAAGGAATCCGCAAGAGCAGTTTACTTCTCACCCACAGCTGCTATCGGTTACATATACCTGCACATGCTAGCATAAAATAATACAGAAGCAGAAAACTTTTTACTTTTGCTCCTTTTTTGTCAAGTTCTTTTTTCAGTTTAACCCAATAGAATGATTCATACAGCGCTTTTAATCTGAACTGTATAAAATCCCAGGTTTCTAGACAAAGTCTTCTAATCTATAATCTCTGTATTTTAAAAAAGCAAACTTTGCACACAGGTCATAATTCTAAAAATTGATTGCAGATAGGCACCTGCCATAGCTTTCAATACAAGGAAATACTTAAACCATTGTTTTTTAAGTATTGAGCTGTTAACTAAGACCTGAACTCACATGTGAGAAAGCACTCCATCTCTTGAAATGTTGTTCCATTATCATTATTTGGAGGCAATGAGGAGAGCCTAGAAAGAAAAAAAAAATTGAGATTGGAATAGATTTTAGATGTTGATCAATTAGACCAACTTCATTTTACAAAGGAGGACAGAAAGAACCAAGGTATGTATGAAATCAGGCAACATGTGAGTGATGGCATTGGGATTTGAATCTGGTTCCCTTTTCCAGATTTTATCATTGCATATGGTTAAAGCATTTCATTGTCACTTTGGAAGCCTCACCATCTCCCTCTGGGGTGAAACTTCTGCTTTGCCTTCTGTTTTTTCCTCAATCTTGAAGAAATGCCATGATTTAGAAAAGCAAGTGGTATTTTCTGCCTTTATGTAATACTTCTATTTTTATCTCTAATCTGAATTAATATGCTGAAGATTTTGATCTTGGAATTTCAGTGCTAATAATGATAATTTCCATTGTCTAATCCCTCAGAAAGATGCTTATGAATTTAAAACAAGATCTGTACTATAGAATTTTTTTCCCATGGATAAAGAACGTTGTTATTTTTCAATTATAGATCTAAACAATCTGTAAAATATAAAAATACACTAGAAGTGATTCTCAGTCTAATAGCCAATCTTGCCATACAGCCAGTTAAGTATGTATTACACACAATCACATTGAATAGAGGTATATAATATCTACATATAATATCTGAATAAAAGAGTAAGTTGAATACATTATTAGTTTCTCTCTTTATTGCCAGCTCTGTTTGTGCTATGTGACTAGGATGGCTGTAGAACAAAACATTTGGATACAAGTGCCTTTACCTTTTTGCATGCACCTTATTCTACATAGGAGTTTTATAATTTTTATTTAAATAAATAGTCTGACTCGAATCCCACTCTCTTTCCTGCGTACCTCCTTTACCACCCCAAACATCCATTTGAAACAGAAGAATTCTCGTTGCACTAGATTATTAAACAAAATGTAAAGAGAGCTTTCTTAAATTATTTCAGGATCCAGAATTCAAACTTACGTGAACGCTTAAAGAAGAGTTTTATATAGTTCTTATCCATTGAATAATAGTGGAAATAGAAACTATGAAACTTGAATTTTATCCTTGTTTTGTATGACAGATCAGTTTTTTTCAGTAGCAGAATACTACTTGAGTCCTTAATGCAGTTGGCTGCGTTTTAAAGTCTGGAAAATTGAAATCTGAACATCTCCTAAATGCATCTACTTTCTTTCAGGCGATTCCGCAGACAAGATGTTCGGCACGGAAACGCCGCTCAGCAATGCTTTGGACAGCAGTTTGTCGGTAATCCAGAGAAAATCAATTGCTATGGGTTACTCGGGGTATACAGTGAAGATAAACTGCAGACTTCTTAAAAGACTTCTTGTTTCCTTTGTGATTGATATATACTACAACAATGTTACTGATTTTTTTTTTCCACATAGCTAAAATTTTGTGGATTTTAAACACCGAAAATTTTAATTATATGTGGACGTATAATTTTTAATTAATTAGGAAAATTAATTCTATATGCCACTACGAAAACCTTACTATTAGACCTCAAAACAGGAGGATCTTAGAACAAGATGCCACGGTGATTTGTAGGACCTCTCTCTCCGTCTCAGCCCCAGGAATATCTTCACCATTTTATGCTACCTATGGTAATCTTATCAAGGGTGATCAAACTTGTATTAAGTCACCTACTAAGCTTTGGGGTAGAATAAAGTGAAAAACTTTGTCTTCCACAAGAGTAGGGAAGCCGAGAGCTCAGGCTGATGGAGCAGATGTGAGTTTCTGAGGAAAGGTAGTGAGTGGTCTGATGGGTAAAGGATGAGAGGAAATTTCTGCTTCAGCAAATGTAAGAAGTCACACAACACAGAAAACCATGGTCCTGACTCTTCACATCGTCTTGGTGGTTGGAACTGGCTGTGATTGGTGTCCCCAGTTTCACAAGGAGGTACCAGGGAGATGAAGCGTCGTGACTGGGAGACGAGGAGTGCTTATATACAATCCAGAGTTGCATAGCATCTGTTCACTAGACCCAAGGCTGAGTGAGCATTTGGTGCAGGACATAAGGCTTGGACAACATTGGCTAGAGGAAGGCAGGATCTTAATCTAGGAAAATTTAGGCATCGGTTTTGAAAGTGAGGAGGACTCAGGCACAAGGAAAAAAATCCCAGGTTCTAGTTACTGAATTTGATATTGGTTAAAACAACAATGAACACATCCACTTGTTTGTTTGTTTTTTTAAGATTTTATTTATTTGAGAAACAGAGAGTGAGAGAGCGAGAGAGCACAAGCAGGGGGAACAGCAGAGGAAGAGGGAGAAGCAGGCTCCCTGCTGAGCAGGGAGCCCCATGCGGGGCTCGATCCCAGGACCCTGGGATCATGACCTGAGCCGAAGGTAGCAGCTTAACCAACTGAGCCACCCAGGTGCCCTGTCCACTTGCTTTTATTCCTCACTGCAGTTAAGTGGTTTAGCCTGTATGCAAATTTGAGTTCAAGTCCAGTGAGAGCCTCCCTGGGCCAAGATAAAGATTATAATCAGGAAGCTCTGGATCAGAAGTCTGTAGTTCAGTTTTGTACCCTTTTCTTACTGTAGGAGCCCAATATTTGGATAAGTGCAGTCCCTTGACAAGATCTCACTCAAACTTGTGTTTATGTAGCACCATATCACCTTGATTTCTGCTTTCTGCTTTTGTTTGTAACCATGGATTTTTGTCTTACGTTTTACTAGAATATTTGATGCTCACCTTCTCTTGCCTGCTCTGTCAGTGGATATCGTCACTGATTTTCCATGCATTTAACACTGATGCACCTTCTTACTGTCCTGACTCTCCTGCTCTTTGGACCCACACTCCCGTTTACCTCCTTCTGGTCCTCTGCATAGCCTGCAATACTTTTTAAAACCTAGATTTTGGTACGCCACTGTCCCTAAATATCTCCTTTAAATGACCTTGCATAGAAATTAGTAGTAAGTCCTGAAAGCTATTCACTTTGCTGTAGGAATCTAAATGAAGAATCTCTTTAAAATATTATTTACTGGAACGCCAGAGTGGCTCAGTCAGCTGGGTGTCTGCCTTCGGCTCAGGTCATGATCCCAGGGTCCTGGGATCGAGTCCAGCATCGGGCTCCCTGCTCCGCGGGGAGCCTGCTTCTCCCTCTGCCTGTGGTTCCCCCTGCTTGTGCTCTTTTTCTGATAGATAGATATAGATAGATAGATAGATAGATAGATAGATAGATAGATAGATAGATAAAAAAATAAATAAAATCTTTTAAAAAATATTATTTACTGATAAAATCAAAGTCTTAAAGTTAATTTTAGTATTTATATTATAGGGGATGCTTTGGATAAGACTGAAGAGCGACTGGCGTATGGCATAGAGAACAACAGTACTTTGCTGGAATGTACCCCACGATCTTTGCAAGCAAAAGTTATCTGGTTTGTACAGAAAGGACGTGACACAAGAAAAGAGGAGGTAATTCATAGCTGCACATTCACGCCGTGATGTCTTGCTTATGGTGTATGATAGTAAATAGATGATGACTTTTTGGGTTTTTAAAAAGAAATCGGTGTGGGGGGGGGGGGGGGGATGGGGTGGCTGGGTGATAGACATTGGGTAGGGTATGTGCTATGGTGAGCGCTGTGAATTGTGCAAGACTGTTGAATCACAGATATGTACTTCTGAAACAAATAATGCAGTATATGTTAATAAAAAAAAAAGAAGATAGCAGGAGGGGAAGAATGAAGGGGGGAGTAAGTCGGAGGGGGAGACGAACCATGAGAGACGATGGAGAGGGGAGGGGGTGGGGGGATGGGTTGGCCTGGTGATGGGTATTAAAGAGGGCACGTTCTGCGTGGAGCACTGGGTGGTATGCACAAACGATGAATCATGGAACACTACATCCAAAACTAATGATGTAATGTATGGTGATTAACATAACAATAAAAAAATTTAAAAAAAACTAATGATGTACTGTATGGTGCCTAACATAACATCATAAAAAAATAATAAATAAATAAATACAAAAAAATAAAACTAATGGGAATCATTGTCATAAAAAAAATGATTCAGTCTATTGTGCTATACATATTGTGCTAAAAAGTGGATTTATTTATTATGTGTGATGTATATACTTATAAAAAGTTTTAATACACACATAGGTTGCTGTGTATATATAATTTATATATGCTATAAAAACCTATGTGAATATATAAATTTTTTATGTGTATAAATATACATGTAAAGACATATAAATACATATATTAAATACAAAATACATATATACACATATAAATAAATTATATGTGCATGTATGTGTGTATGTATAAACTTGGATTCTGAAAATTGGACTTTTATTCAGTAGGTACTCATAGCTTCATGATTTTAGTACCTTGTTGTCAAAATGATCATCTTAAATTGTATCACCCAAGGCAGTGTTCTAGAAAAATAACAAATTTAAACAACATTAACACGTATATCTTAGACATAGGGATAATAGAATTAAAACAACAGCAACAACATTAAAACAATTGTTTGATAAAGCAGTTGAGTCATATATGAAACATTGCCACAGGGGTTCCGTTAGTGCCCACTGGGAACAAAAGAAAGGCATCAGTTTGTCCTTTTGAGTAGGTTTAGTGGTGGAGATTATATTTCTATTATCATCTAAATAATGAGAGAGGAATCAGTTGTGCTGCTTTTATAGATGGAAGAATAGGGAGCATTTAAAGCACACATAAGGGATAGTCTGGAGGCAGTTACTGGATAATCTTTTTATGAGAGTCTAGGGATCTGGTTGCATATTGGCCAGTGTCAAGGGCATGAAGCACTTAGTAAAGGCAGGTAAAACGTTAGGGATGCTAATGTGGGCTTTGAACTCAATTTTCACAAAAGTTGAATTATAAAAATAGAAAGAATGAAATTTGGTTAAATAAAGGGAAATAGATCTTGGTGACTGCTAGCAAAATGTTTCTTGGTAAAAAGAAGGTAGCAGATTGAATAAGGGAAAGAAATATTAGACACCTGCCATAGGACCCAGGGACGAGCTAATAGGGACACAGTGGGTAGAGCAGGAATCAGTGAAGCCATCAACTGTAGAACCCAAACGTAGAGCACACTGACTTTTTATGCCTATTTTTCCTAGTCTGTTGTTTAACTAAAAATGCAACGTATTTTTGGTCCAAAATCATACAGTACATTCTGGGAGAGGATTAAATTTGTAAATCCCATGTTCCTGGAATAGTTATTAGAGAGGAAGGCACTCAACAAAGGCACTCTAGAAAGGCAATCACGGACAGGAAAATTTTTCTGAATTTTCATGACATCATAAGAATAAACATGTGTTCTAAAATGTTACAGCATATTGCACTAAAGTACATTGTTGATTTAGCACTACGGTATTTTCCATTTGACAAATCTGATGTGAAACTGATTTTTAAATTCCGTCATAATCCACTTGGCAGGAGAGGACCTGAGAATATTCTGTAGCTCCTTTCGTTGAATGGCTTCAGAAGACAGAGAAGTCATTCTTTCATCAGTGGCTTTCTTCCCTCAGTATGTTCTGTTTCTAATTTGGAAGTCACTATAATCTGCCTCATTTGGAAATCTTTACCAAATCATTTTGACAGGCTGCATCCATCAATGTTCAATTATAAGCTTCTTTCTCCTATTGTGGATATAATCTGCTTCTCCTTTCCCCAAATTTTAGTTTCTGTTTTTCAAATTTCCATGACTGATAGATTTACTGATACTTGAAATTTTGAATTTACTCCATGCATTAGGTGTCATCATCATTCAATCCTTGGTTTCTATAGACACAGCAGTGTATATTGATTTATTCACAGTTCTAGAACAAAACACAAAATTGCTGACTTCATAAAAAGGTGGATGTGTTTGCTGAATGCACGGAGCAGAATGACTTTGATTGTCCTTTTAGAGTTTGTTTTAATGTTCTTTTAGAGTCTTTTATGGAGCTTTTAGAGGTTTTTTTCTTTAAGACCATTTTGTTAAAAGACCATTTTATTATAGTTACTATGGACAGAATTATTTTGTTATCAAATCTTGACCATTGTATAAGATCTTGAAATTCATCCACTCCATTTCTTACCTCATATGTAAATGCTTTTAGAGTACCCTTGACAGTAGCCAGCGAGGTTCATCACAGACACTTCAAGCTGTAAGTCATTAATTTGTAGTCAGACCATAGCCTTTGTAAAAAAAAGTTTTGATTGTGAGACACACACACAACATTTTTGAGTCTGGGACTTTGGCCTGCAAATCCAAACTCACCTCTCTGGAAACCATATGTTCAGGTGAATAAAATTTTGCTCAAATAAAGCTTTTGAAATGATACGTAGCTGAATTGCTAGAAAACATCTCGACATTCAGTTATCCAGTTTCTTTCTCTTTTTTTTTTTTTTAAGGTTTTATTTATTTGACAGACACAGCAAGAGAGGGAACACAAGCAGGGGGAGTGGGAGAGGGAGAAGCAGGCTTCCTGCTGGGCAGGGAGCCTGATGCGGGGCTTGATCCCACGACCTTGAGATCATGACCTGAGCCGAAGGCAGACGCTTAACAACTGAGCCACCCAGGTGCCCCAGTTATCCAGTTTCTAAACTGGATTACTGCTCTTCTCTCGAATGGGCACTTTATGGTCTCCTACTTTCTTAAATACCACATGTGAACCACATCTCTGTACATTTTACTAATTCCATAAATATTTATCGAAAGCCTGTTTTGCAAGTAATTCTTATGGGAATATTTTTCCCTTGGCTCAGTGACCTTAGTTAGGATGTGCATCCGTTCTTGTGATATCCTGAGGGAAAGGATTTTAATAGAGGACACTTTACAGGTGAGGCTGTTCTTCACTGTGCCTCTACCACACACAGAAGCTGCAGTAGTAGGTAGGTGCTTACCTTACTGCTCTTATGTCTCACAAATGCGCATTTGAGGTCATGGACCTCTTCCTACAAATGTGGAAACGAAAACTGAGAGAGGTATAGGTAACAAACAACATCCGTGACGGACCCAGGGTTTGAACTCAGATATTCCTGACTCCAAAGCTGAGCTGCTTCCCACGTATTCAGCGTCTAAGTACCGAGAGGAATTTGCTCTGTGCATTTAATAGAATATACCATTTTATTCTAAAACATGATTTACAAGTGACATAATTGAGACACACAATGTTTAATCACTTCCCTGGTTACTGACAGCTAGTAAAGTTGACTCACATCCACGTATCTGTGGGTTCTCTTTACTAAACCACACAGCCTTCTGAAATCAGAACCCTAAATACAGTTTCAGATGCTTTGGGACATGTAGCAAATGGAAGACAATTTACAGCCAAAGTTCTGTAATTTGACTTCTGAAAAATGGTCCTGATATCTGCTTGATTCTTACCTATATTTTTCTCATCAAACTTCGGTGAAGCATGCTCTTGCAGCCATGGGGGCAAGAACAGTAGTCCTCATGTTTAGATGTTAAGAACCACCAGTAATTGGAACAGTTCCCACTCTAAGCAGTGATACCATGAATCCTTATTATACAAGGTATGCAGTGTGTTTCCATTCTCAGTTTCTCTTTCAGGCTTTATTTTATGTCTGTTGGTAGAAGAAGGGTTCTGTATCAAATTAAATGTTCTCTCTCACTTGAGCCTATGTAATAGAAAACCAAGAGCACTCTACCTCGTTTTCTCGGGTTTTTAACCAAACTAATGCTTCATTCTTTTGCAACTTACCTATTGAGCATCCGATATGCCCTGTTTTCATAGAACCTGTATTGTAGAGAACAGAGGAAGATGATGGTGTTGATGAAAACAGTAGTACAACTAAATATAAGAACCATATTTAATGTATCAAATGATGATGAGAAGAAAAGTGCAAGAGAGATTACCTGCAGGGAGAGGTTGCAGTTTTAAAGGGGTGTTCGTGGAAAGTCTTAAACTAAGAGGGTCACCAACTCAGTGACATTTGAAAAGGACTTGAAAGAACTGAGGTAGTAGGCCATATGCTAGTGTTGGAGAACTTTCTGGATAGTGGGAACAGTAGATGTAAAGGCCCTGATATATTCAAGTGCACCTGAATGGGAGTTGGGAGTGCACCTGATATATCCAAGGAGCCTTTGAGTGAAGGGCAGTGTGGCTAGAAGGGAATGAGCAGCAGGGAGACGAGTAAACTGTGGGTCAAAGAGTGAGGGAAGGCCCTGCCCATGCAGGGCTTTGTAGGCCCTTATAAAGGGCTTTGGTGTTTGCTCTGCGTTAAATGGATAGCCATTGTGTAGTTTCCAGCAGAGCCATGACGTGATCAAAATTTGGTTTTAAAAGGTTCTATTAAGAATATAAAATGTGGAGGTGGGGAGAAAGGCAGAAGCAGGTGATCATTGAGGTGATAGGGACATAAATCTTTATGTTCACTGATACAGCATTAACTCTGTATGCGCCCTTTACCTTCAAGGTCAAATGGTATACACGTGACTGC